AAAACAGACTAGAAAAAGGTTTAGATACCAATCATAGATGGCAGGACCAGTGCTGAAGTGAAAGGAAATATCAGTCTAAAACGTATTTTAGGAATTTTTTCATTAAATTCATCTTTAAACTTCATTAAATAATACAATTTTGTACAAATAATTGAATGTTATGCTACTATTTACAAAAATAAAATCTGAACTCCAATAAAAGATAAGTTCTCTATCATTTTTTCAATTCACAAATGATTTTGCACTCACAATAAGACAAAATGGCCCCGGAGAATATCGGGTTAAGTTTATTGTGCTTCAATCCAAGTTGGGAGCATTAATTAGTAGCAGAGCATGGCTCAAAGTAACAGTTACAAGAATCCACTGGCTTTAGGACCAGATAAAGTATACAAGACTTTGAAAAATGAAGAAACGGGCTTTGGCAATTATTTTATTGCTAATTGGCCAGGCAAAAGTGAAGGCACTTGAAATCAATGTGAGTGATTTGAATTTGGAAGATGGAATGAATGTTTTGATCAAGGCTGTTGATTCGCTTTTTATGAAAGAAACTGTAGATTTAGTCTCTGAGGCATGAAGGCAAAATGTTCTGAAAGAGTGAGAAGGGCTATAAGAATACAGACTTGTTCGACAACAGAGATATATGCTGCAGGTGACAGAGTTTATTATAAGCATCCAGCCAATCCCGAGAGGAAAGACCAGCTACAGTTATTGGACAGGATGGTCTAGTGATATTTGTAGTTAAGAGTCCATCAGTGTTGATTGAAGGGAGCAAAGCAAACAGATAACAGTTTAAATGATAACAAGTCAACCTCAGTTGAACAAGGAGTTATCAAGACAGAACAAAAGAAGGAATCAAATAATATTGAAGATAGTACTAAAGAGGAGTCAACAGGTGATGAAACTGATATAGAGTCAAAATCAAATAGCTCCACACATGCAACTCAAACAGCACCCATCAAAAATATGGATAAACTAAAGATTAGTCCTGGAAATATTGTGCAGTATAAGCACCAACAAAATGGTCAGCAACTGATTGGTAGGATCCTCAGTCCTGCAGGGAAGGTCACAGGAAAATGAAAAATCTGGTACAATTTGGAATACACTGGAACACCTCATTTCTACAGAGCATATTGTAACCTAGATAAAATGCAAAAATATGCCTGGGCAACACTCACCACAGAGCGGGATCCAGGTAAAAACGAGGTAAGGGACCCTGAAAGGTAAAGCAGAGACAAGCGTAGCAATGAAAATACTCACCCTTCTGTATAATCTGGAGGAAGTGGTTAAAATAGCTACAGGGGGTAGTTGAAAATCCTCAGATGATGATACTGTCAGATCATGCGAATAATGTGAGATAAAAGTATTGGGGGAGGTCTACATAACAGCTTGCACCAGTTCCTCCAGTGAGCAATTTGACTGGGCCTCCAAGGACATAGAAATGTGATGAATCTGATTAGACATGACTCGCAAAAAGTTCCTTGACTTCAAAGAGAGTGCAGAATAAGCAATATGGATCAATTTCGTACCCACCTCTTCAATGTAACTGGGGATAAATCCAGAGATATGGAATGATCCCAATAAATAAAAATTCATTGTCTACCATCTCTAAAGGCATTATGCATGCAACAAAACTTTCAAGACCC